ATTATTGATGCATTATGAATCCCTTAGGAGAAGAGATAGCATAAGAACTTGAGCTTGAAATAAAATGAAAGAAAGTAAGAGATAGCATAAGAACTTGAGCTTGAAATAAGATGAAAGAAAGTAAGAGATAGCATAAGAGCTTGAACTTGAGATAAGACAACCTAAAGAGATGGGTGCAATCCAATGTGAAATAGCATAAAAGAGCAGAAAATGGTTACAGTGAAAGCATCGCATATATCGTTCTTCTCGTAAGGACGACACCCCATAATATGTAGAGAAGGAGAGAGAGTTACATGAGGATGATAGGTTTGGATGTTTAGATGGGGATAGAGATAGATTCCGAAGTATGAAGATTAGAGATGGAGTTTGTGTGTTCAAGCAGTTCAAATTTGGATGGAAAGAGGTATCTAAATGGAGAGAAGAACTACATGAGTTTGTTTGTGAAAAAATCATAAATATATAATAACCGAAGAAGAATCTCTCCTCAAGAGACTATCGTCTCAGTCAAAATTTCTCGTGCATGGCCGTCTTGTGCTAACTTAAAAGGAAATGGAACAGAAAAAATAATAATTATATAAGTACGTATATCATATGTACAATCAACGGGAACATTATCAATATTGATAAATAGGACACTTGTAAAGCCACAAACAAAAAAATTACTTTTAGAGATAACCCTTTGTTATTTTATCACATAACAGAGGATAGAAGTTTTTCTAAGCTCATATCTAGGTTTTTGTAAGCGTGTTTTCTTAATATGATACACACAAATCATGGTTTTGATATGTGAGGTGATTTTTTTGGAAGAGAAGCTTGTGTAACTAATCTCCAATGAGCTGCCAAATGAAATTTCATTTGGAATATCTCTCAAAGTAGTTAAGGTTGCTATATATATACATTTTTTTCTTCTTCTATAGCGTGTAGCTGGGCTTCATCTATAGGTTCTTAGAAAATAAAAGTCAAAACAAAGAAGAAGAAGAGGACAAAACAAAAATCCAAATAATATACAATATCAAAAGAAAATGGAAATCAACATACTTATGTAGAGAAAAAAGAATGATCGCTTTGGAAAGAAATAGCATAATCACCGTTTGTCGAATGTGAAGCAGAGGTTAAAAGTTTTGAGAGAGAAGAGTGCATCACCAATGGAGAGACATCATTTAAATACCATTCTCTCTATTACCCTTATTAAGAGTAAATTACGAAAAATAAAAATAAAGAGAGAAAAAGAGAGTTGTGGCTTGCATGTGTGTGAGATAGATGTGGGTAGGTTGTGAGAGGGGGAAGGAGAATCGTGCCAAGGGTAGAGAAATATGGGAAAGAGAATTGTGGAAAAGGGAAGAGAAACATTGGAGGAAGTGAGATAAATTTTGAATGGAGAGAGAGAAGTTGAGGTGTCACCACACTAGAAAAATAGTTATATAAAAGATAAAGTGTAATCATACTAAAAAAAATAAGTTATTTTTATTTATTTATATATGGAAAAGTCTCTCAAAAATAAATAGTGATTTCGTCTATTTTCATTATCGTCCAAATTTCATCACGCGGTCACGATTGTACGGTAGTGTTTTATTTTTCATTTATTTTTCTATAAATCGGAATAGCTTGAAATTTGAAGGGTATGTACATCTTACTGAGGCGCATCTAATAAAAATATAAAAATAATTATCCGTAAAAATAAAAATTAACCAAAATACCCCCAAAAAGTTTTGGGGGTATTTTGGTCAATTTTTTTCACATAAAATATTTTTTTTATATTTTTCGAAGATTTACCTATTTTTTATAAATACACGCTCCAAAGTTTAGGCCATTATGATTTGTAGAAAGCAAATGAAAAATAAAACACTACCGGACAATCGTGACCGTACGATGAATTTTGGACAGTGATGGGGATAGGCGAAATCACTGTCTATTTTCACCTATAAACCTTGCATAGTATTTTTATTTATTTATAT